TGCTCATAGAACCTGTCTCCCCTGCCATACTGATCTCCCCATTGCCTTTTTCCTATCTCTCCAATAAACCTATTTATCATATACTGTATATATTTTTTCTCTTCTGGGAGTTTTCTCTTTGCATGTGGGTTAGAAGCCTTAAAAAACATGACAGAAGCAAGCCCTACACATACTCCATGCAAAGTTGGTAATATTATTGGAACCAGATGTTGAACTTTAATTTTTATTTGCAGAGTGAATTTATATGTCTTAAATAAAGAAAGGATTTTAAGGCTTGAAAAAAATATTTAGTACAGGTTCCAATAAATGTGGCTTCAGTTGGATATCTGCTAATGTTTCCCATTACACTAAACAGTTCATAGGCTTCTGTACTTCAATAAACAATTGAATAAAACATTAATCATTGAAAAATGAATTGCTTATTAGAGGTATTATAATTGACATTTAGCTGTGAAAAGCAGCTCATTGGCATTTTGACTCAGATTTTGTTTATCATCTAATTAATTCCTGGTATTTATTTTGATCTTTGACGGGTTTCTTTGCAGAGAAAAGGGACAGGAGGGGCCAGTGGCTAAGGGATGGGTTCCCACGTTCCCTCATATACTGAAATAAAGAAGAAGAAGAAACATAATAATAATACTGTGAATTGGAGACCCTTTGTACCCTCCCGACAAGCTGTAAATCTTTGCATATCAGACCCCTTATCGGCAAAAATATGAAGAGCTCTGTAGATGGAAATCTCTCAATATAATATTAGCAGGGCTTTTTCATTTTAGCAGTGTTCAAATATTTGTTTACCTGGACACTATTTCATAAAATCACTAAAGTGATCTTCAACCCACAATTTTTACATATTAGTCTCTATGCTCATCCGACTACTCTGAGTATCAATGGTTTTTTACAAACAACCCTGAATGTGAAACATCCAGTATATCCTGATTCTTGTTCATATAAACCAAAGCTTTAACTCCCCTGTTTCTTGTTTATCAGTTACACTTCAGCAAGGGCTTTTAGCTACATCCCCATAATGTAACTGAATTGTTTTTATGAAAGTTTGCATTGGGAAGTGGGAATGAACTTATAGCATAGTTGCATTTCCTTTACAAAAAATCTTTGAAGTGTGGTGCGCATTTGTTGCCTCAAGGTATCGCCTGAATGCTAGAGGAGTCCATGTTATACCCCTTTCCCACTGGTCGAAAAACCAGTTTAAATCGGGGAACAATAAGCTTTAATTGGCAGTGGGAACAGCTCACTGACGTGGGTCTACCCCTGTGCCAACTCGGCAAGCGACCTGGTTAAAATTGCCTCAGCTCTGATCGGCATGCTGTGGGAAGACCAGAGCCGGGTTGACCCGCTAAATTACGTGACACCATTGAATGCATCATACAGATGTCAACATATCATGCCAGTCGTTACTGATCTAACAAGCCAAAAAAAACTCCTGTTTGCATTTAATAAACATGGCGCAGCACTGGTAAGAGGGATTCGGAAAGATAATAGAGCGAAACAATAAAGCACCCTTACTTCTCCCTGGCTTCCTTACATGTTTCTCTCCATTGTTTACTTTCATTATTTCTGTCGCACTGGTGACTTCATCAAAGCTAACCCAGCGTGATGGTGTCAGCAGGCACGCAGTTGCGGCGGGACAGAGGCCACGCAGCTTGCCAGCTCGGGGTTAGACCCAGCTTTTGTGGCCAAGGGAGCCATGTTTGAAAAACACACATTATCTTGCTATTTTCTGTGGGAAATGGGCTTAAGAGTCATGTAGTCTCTATATAAACATACGGTTGTTCTATAAAGGACTTAAGAGGTCACTCGTGAAACACATTAATTTATTTAGTACATGCATAGTTGCAAACTAACGGGCTACATATCTCTGAATACATCCCACTCTGTCATACAAGATGGTAGAGGTAGCATCATACTAAGGAAACTCATTTTGTCCAGTTTGGACAGGTAGGCTGGTCAGGAGAGACAGAAAGAGGACAACCACATATTACATACTTTGAGGGCTACACTGGAATGGCTCAGATCCAACCATGGTTATATGGCAGAAAGCCCTAAAAACCAGAGCTAAGTCCATTTGAGAAGCTATAATTGAAGTTTGATGTTCTTACTCTATTTAATCTGACTGAGCTTGAACCTCTCTTCAAGGAAGAATGTGCAAAAAAAACAAACAAAATTAGTTCCTGGATATGCAAAGCCAGTGGAGACATACATCATATATATAGCAATAATTCCAGAGAAAGATTTATCTCCAAAGCATAGCCTCTTAGGGGCTGAATATATATTCACTCCATGCTTTTTAGATGGAAATAAATAATAGAATGTATCTTGTACTACATTGTGTTAGCCATTGTTTTAGTCCTATTAAAACAAAAAAGGCGCATTGAGTCACTTCAATATCACAAAATGTGAACAGGCTCGGTATTACCTGTTTTGCAGGTGATTGCTGCTACATTCTTGGAATTTCTGCAGAGCATTATGTATTCTCTTCACTTTTTTGTTTTACAGTCTCTACTGGCAGAACAAAACTTATTCTGTCGATATACATCTGAAAGTGAGACATAGTAGATGCAGTTGTTCTGTAGGTAATAACCAAACCTCTCCTCGCAAAATGAGTTAATCTATCATGCTTCCTCTGCCCAAAACAGGGCAAATCTAGTCCATACTGTTCCGTGGCGACCTGTTCTTTCAATGTGAATTGAGTTATGATCCAATCAAACAAATCATGGCTTGTTCCGAACAGGGTCATGAGTAATGGATTGAAAAAGTCTGTATTTGATTACTCTGGCTGCCCAGGTTTGACTAAGATCCATTTGAGAAGCAGTGCGGCAGAATTCCAATATGGACGCCCTCCAGCTATTGACCCTGTCTTTAAGTGGGCGCTGTGCTTTTAGTGTACTTACGCTGGTTGTTCCACATCTTCTTCCTCCTGGCAGTTTTGCAATACCTCTGATGGCAGATGCTGGCTCCCTTTTCCCTACTCTGCATTATTGATGCATCAGAGAAAGTGGATAGCCTACTTTTTGCAATAACCCTCCAAAAAAGATGCACACGGTCAGAGTTTTGTTTTGATGTGTTAGTAACTATGTCAAAGTTCATATATTTAGAGCTTAAAGAACTTTGTACTGGAAAACATTAAAGAGGAAATCTAAAGTATTTTATAAAACAACTTATCACATGAGATTTAAAGATTAGATTGACAATTATTTTCTATGAAAGATTATCCAATCCAATCCAATCCAATCCACTTTATTTATATAGCACGGTTTAAATAAACACAAGGTTTCCAAAGTGCTGCACAAAAAGATAAAATAACTAAAATAAATAAAAGTAATAAAATAAAAAACTACAAATCGTTTTGAGGTGAAAGAAGAATAATAGATTATTTTAAAACTCATTCCCCACACAACCTTTCTATGCCTGCCATGAAGCATGGTAGTGGCAGCACTCAATGACAGGAAAGCTTTGAGATGGGAAAAAGATATATGTAGCTTAATACAGTGTAAGTAGGACTGGAAAAAATTTAAATATCAATATAGATAGAGATTTTATTTAATAATGGTAATATGATGTTTTTTATATTTTAATATACAACAAAGTATATGATTACATTATATTTCACTGACTGAAATTCAGTTTTTTTAAGCAAAAATTAATAATATGTTATATCTATGGAGTTTTATGAGCATGCAGTCATCTGTTGTGGGCATTCTTAGCAGTTTTTTATTTTGTTTATATCACCATTGAAATTATATCCTATTGACTGAAATGTAGAAATATATTGTGATACAAGTTTTAGTCATATCATCCAACCATAAGACTGGGAATTAATGGTCTGAGATTCACTTGACGACGGGGCTGTTTTGCAAAGAAATTTTTTGCAAGGCTTCTATAAGTTAAGGCATTACTTTTTTTTTTTTTTACTGTAAATCACCCACAACCTCAATAAAATATATTGAGGTTGCAGGGTTTTGCAACAGGAAAGCAACACAATTTAACAAGGTAATTAAAACTTTTACAAGATTCTGTGCAAGTGTTGTTCAAATGTAAGTGTTGTTTTGGTTTTGAAAATGAGACAGAAAATTTGGATACTGACGATTTAACATATTATTATTATTATTATACTATTTAATAAATATGTTGCGTGAAATGTGAACTTTTCTGCAAAATCTTTACTTCTCCCATGACAATTCTTACTTTAATGTTGTCAAGAACCTCGAACGCATTGATCTGTTGAACATTTGCCTGGAAAGGCAAAAAAAAAAAAGATCAACTTCCCATTCATCCATTATCTGAAGACACTGATGGGTCAGGTCCAAAAGGGAAACAGGAAAGCGGAAAGACAAAAATGGACATGAGAAATAAAAGTGTACATTTGTGTGTGTGTGTGTGTGTGTGTGTTTGTGTGAGAGAGCTAGAGAGAGAGAAAGAGAGAGAGAGAGAGAAAGAGAGGGAGATAATGTTCACAGTTTGGCCTATAGATGGCAGTGTTTTAATACAATGTAGATGAGGAGAACCTGTGGACTGCTGGGAAGACTGAGTCCAGAGTAAGAACTGTCAGCTTTTTGATTTGGTTGTACTAATATAAACTAATATATAAATACTTATTATATCTTTATGATATGGCTAAAGGAAATCAAGCAAAAAATTTGAAAGTATCCACCAAGAGACTTGCATAAACTGGAATTGAAATATTGCAGTAGTAAAGCCAATGTTTTTTTTTTATTATTATTTTGATTAATTAAGGGAAAAACTTTATAAATCGAAAGTTAAAAATTTCTAAAATTACATACTGCTAAGTGCTTGGCAAAACTGACTTCAATGTTCGGTTTCATATTTCAGATATAATAATTTTCTAAATTATGTATCACATTTCTGGTATTTCTGGGCGGAAACAGTTAACGCTGTAATGAGCCGGAGTGTGAGTGGGCTGGGTTTACCGGTGCTCTGTGCCAATGGCAGCACACACACACTCACACACACCACCAGCTACAACACACCGCTGCACTCTGATGGAGCCGCCAGTCTGTGCGCGTGAGTCCGGCAGAGGTTTGTGAGGAAGCCACGCTGCGGCTCTGAACCGACACCTTTCTCCTTCCATCGGCGGGTGATGGCGAACCACACCGCGGCTTGAAGGTCTCGCGCGGTGAGCAGCACCGGAGGAAGGTTTGACTGCGGAGCCCGGAGGAATGCACCCGCTGCCGCACTGACACGGTCCGCTCAAGTCAACGGAGGTCAGTTCAGATGCTGATGCCTGAAGTTTACGCGCTACATTCCCAATGAGCTGCTCGGTGCCCACTGTGAATGAATGACGCCACCGCTTAACAGGTCCTTCCAGCAGAGAGGCTACCCTGCATTAAAGGGACCGGGACTACTAACACTGAGCTTTCCATAAAACAAACACCTTTTACTGAGCGCATTTGGAATCATTTCCCCCCCATTCTTACTGTGGATGTGAGCGCAGCGCATCAGTCCTCTCTTGAAGGAACCAACAGATCCAGTTCACATTGAGAAGGTGAGTGCTCACCTCAGTTGATCTGCCTTTACAGGGATTTTATTTGCCCTCATTGAGTGCCACAAACAGCCCCTCTCCACACCGCAGAAGAGCTCATTTCCGACACTGCAGAGAAACAACCTGGAAGAGACATTTATCATCTCAGGCTGCAGGCTTTGATAAGGTGGCAGCCTGTTTTACATTGTGTCGGTGCCACAGCTCACACTTTGACGCACAAATAAACGTGCATTACAAATAGTCCTATTATGTATGAAACCATTAAAGCAGAGGTGTAAAGTACAGATTCTGTTTGTAAACTATAGGTTATCACTGTTACCTATGTTTTATTTTAAATATCTATAGTTTGGCTTCCTAATTTCTAACAATACTACAGTTGTACAAAAACATGATGTAACATCTCTGTTTTTTCCCCTTCCCAAATCACTACATTTATAAAAGCAATTCTTTTTATTTCAGTTGTATCTAAAACCTGATTCCTCTTATTCAGGTATAGATTGGTTGGCCATCTGAACCCAGCAGCAGTGGAACAGATCATGCCAAGATGCATAAAAGCTGGGACTGAAAATCAGAGTATCTTTCCCAACTCTTCCCCAAGCAATACAACAGTATTATTTTATGTCTATATAACTCAACCGAGTACAGACGCAAAAGTGGAAATCTCAAACTGATTATTTTGTTGAGGTCTCTTGATTTACTTTCAACTTTTTTTAATTTGCAGATAAGAATTCAGTTTTTTTGAACTCTTAATTTCTTTTGGCACGTGCTTTATCTATCAGTCCTAATAAAAAGGTCTATATATTCTGCCATCAGTTATCACAATTGTGGATTTAAATTACTCTGACCCATAGACTCTAGTTAAATAAAACATCCAAGAAATCCATTTGGCTGGGATTTTAACTATATGAGGTAGTTGATTATGACCCGCTTCCCTGCAACAAGTGAGCCTTGTGTCTGCAAATTAAATGATTTTCTGACTTATAATATTTTCCTAAATTTGGCTTTGATGGATGACTAATCGTGTTCACATTATCAGAAGAGCGTTGTTGTTACACTTTTGGCTTTGTCTCATCTGGAGCTTCACATTGACTCCAGACCTCATCTGTCTCGTACAGCCGATGCACCTACAAATCTTAATTCTTTGTCAGACTGCCAGTGCCCTGGCGAGCGCCCACGACAGTGACTCCAAAGAAAATAAATGTTGTCTTAAGTAGAAAATTGCTTCACATTTGCATGAAAATGACTTACATCTGCCGTGGCTGATGGGTAGCATATTAATCCCTTTGCCCTTGCAATCAAAACCAGTTCTTTCTTGGCAAAATCACATTTTTGTTGCTTCTGAAGCATGACCCCTGCACACAATTATTTTAATATCCATCTCAAAGGGAAACGGTCATGTGCCCCCCCACCCCACACTGAAAAGCAACTGCCAGGCTAGGGGGGGTACCGCACGGCTGTCTTTAGAAGAGTAAACTAGCACACAGAATAGGTTTGATTATAACATGCTGATTATGCTCCCCTAATTAACTCCAATCTAATAATGGTGAAGAAGCAGCCTCGGTGTGCTCTTTCTCTTTCAAACCAGCTCAGCTTTGCAACAAGTCTAATAGTACTACGAAAAAGAGTAATTTCTTTTGTCTTGGGCTTGTATTTAGTTGTTCACTTATAAACTCTCACTAGGCTTCAATAAATCAGACGTACCTATTATTTTAGGCTTTGGTGCTTTTGTTGACAGGTTTAACGAATTGACTTAAAAGAGAGCAGACAGTTTGTTATCCTTTCTAAATAATTCTCTTTTCTTAAGCGGTGCCTTTGAAGTCTTTTTATCCGAGATTGCAGTTTCGTGAACCTCAACATCACAGGTTAGTAAAATCAATGAAGTTTACCTCTCGGAGAAATAACTTGGACTGGTCTTGTTTTCCAAGTTGACCTAGCTTCAAGAAGCTGTGACATCTTTATAATTACTGGTTAAGCGTTTGTCCCTAGAAGTAGTTTAGTGAAGTCTGAGAGTCACCTGAGTTCCCGATGGAAAATATGCTGCCTTGCTTGCTTTAAGTGCAGAGTGATGAATTTATTTTGAGATAGATCTAAGTCAAGACAGGATGGAGCTGGTTTTAACCCCGAAATGTCTTTTTAATTGCTGTTACTTCATTTAGAAAAATGACCTTTACTGCTGTAAGAGCAAGTGCTCCCCTAATGGACTGCAGACTTTCTGAAGAGTGTCATAATCCTTTGCTACCATCAGCATTCATCAGCATCTGGGACAAACTCTGCTGGCTCAATAGCGTCCTCTGTTGATAAAGAGCAATGAGCTATAATCATTTGTAACCCTCAATTTGACTTTGCATTGAGTAGCCTTTACTTTGAGGTGTTGCTTATTATCTGTCTGCTCTGCCACCACTGGCATCGGCAGAATACAGTGCTGGCTCTTCCATGGATTCCCCCCCTCAAGGCAGTGAGACTCGCCACACTTCAGCTTGAGAGATTTTGACAAGTTGCTACGCATGCGAACAGAATCCTTGACCTATTTCTTAATGAGTGAATGCTGCAAATGTGTTCAGTGGTTTGGTATTCAGAACACAGACCCGATACCCCCCCATCATCATTGTCAGCGACCCCCACCGTCCCAACTGTCTTTTTGCTTCCACATGCACGCAAACATGCACATAATGGAGCTGTTGTGGGTTCAGCGACTCGTCCACTCATAGATATATGTCCTCCTTTCCCTATCTGCTGGAGACTGCAAATAGCGAAGTGTTTGTTTTAATGCTATTGGCCTCCTCTCTTGGTTCTCTGTGGGCTGTTTATCTGAACCTCTCAACTGTCCAGCTGTCACAACTGAGATCTCACTCTACTTGACCCACACACGCTCTGCTCATTTAACCCTGTTATGGACATCTTGTTGTTTGTTGGTGAGTTTGAGCACATGCAAATCCACATAAACTCAGATCGGGTCTGTAGGGGACAGTGATTAAATGGAGGGAAGACAGAAAAATGCTGCTCTCGAAAATGTTCGGTCAGTTCATTTTCATAAAAAGGCAGGTCACAAATATTTCCGATGCATTTTTCACAGGTCAGGTCTTCTGTTTTATCTGGAGGGCAATTGGGAGGATGTCACTAAAACCTATCCTGTATCTAGATTTATGTCTTAATTTTGACATTGACCCTGTAGAATTTGGTAAATACGATTAAAGACGTGCTTACACTGTTGTATCATTACACAGCCCTATTGAGAAAGAGAGGGAAAAAATCATGGATGGGGTTAAATCAGTGTGTTTCTTGAAAATTGTGAGAAAGAAGAAATTTTGGTGCTGCAGGAGTCTGCTGGTTTCTTACAATTTGAAGGTTTGGTTGCAGTCAGCATTAGGGTTGAGTATTGGGATGTGTGTTCTGATACAATACATGGCACGATACTTGGGTCACAATATGATATTATCACCGTATTGAAATATCATTATATTTGCAATATGTTCCACAGCTATCAAGTTAAATGTACTGGTATAGATAACAAAGCAAGTGCTGTTTATTTTCAGCAGAAGATATATATTTTGGTATCCATGATGTTTGCTGTTTTGGGATTTTAAATGTATAATCCAACTTTAGGCACTGGCTACCATTGAATCCTCATAGTATTATAGTATTTACTATTGACAGTATAATGATATTGACATGAATATCTTCACAAACATTTGAAATATTTTTAAACAGCAAAAAACATTCCTATTTTTACACCTTTTTTCTTGATAAAATGGTTTAACACATTGTAAAGATGAATTTTTAAATATTTTGGTAGATTAATTTAGCTGATTTGCATCTTTAACTTCTTGATCAGAGTCTAGATGAGCAGATATTCGTTTATTGAGTGAATACCTCACATTTATCCTCTCAATGGTAATGGTAACATACCACTACCTTGGTAACCTATGGTAACATACCATACCATTTGAAATACTCTGAAAATAGTATTCAAATATCATGCATACATTTACAAATATCATGTAGGTTTTGGTACTAAGGCCAATGTGAGACTTAAATAACTTTATTTGATTGTCTAAAATGTATAGCATTTCTAGAATTGTGACAAAAACATATCTGGTTAGTTATCTGGTAATGCTTCCCACAACAGAATCTTATCAGCATATATCCAAATTGTGCCAAAGGGTCTCTGATTTGGTTTTTAATCCTCTAGTTAAGATGTACCCTGTGTATTTTCAATCCATATACACCAAAGATCTGTGCTTCATTTTTACTCTTTGATAATTTTCACACACAGATGTTTGAAAAACACCACGGGGCCACATTTAATGTTGTTGTCATGCTGCCGAAGCCATTTTCATCATCTTGAGTAGCTGTGTGTGCAGGCTTCAGTGACTTATCCAATCGTTGAAACTGTTTTAAATTGATGACTACAGGCCACTACATTGTTAAGTAGGAGCTTGCTCAGTATGAGCAGCACATGGCACAGAGTGCAGGAATCAATGCCACTCTGCATTTCTTTTTTTTTCATGATACGCACAAAAATCCTGGAGTCCATGTTAGGGAAAAAATAAACATGATAAAAATTGAGCTAAATGTGTACTAACTGTCTTTCAATTTACCAAAGCAAAAGGAAAGCAAAAGGTGAGGGGCAGGGTGTTGCAAAGCGATTGTCTTCACACACTTGGTTAGTTTTGTATTGAACAAAGAAAATGTACAAGACTAATTTTTTAATTCCTTAACATACTGTATGGGGGCTGCAGTTGATTTTGGATGTGGCTAATCCTACAGAACTCTATGGTGGGTGAGAGACCGAATGGCTTTGGTCCTCACCCGTATTTCATTTCTCACTACCTCTTTCAATGGAGCCAGCATAGTTCCTACAACTGACTTAGCCATTTTATGAGTTTAAAAAATCTGTTAGAGTATTTTCCCTTTATTCAACAACCCCAGAAAATACTATGAAGAATATTGAACTAGACACTGAAAATTGCTAGAATATTTGGAGCAGCTTACTAGATATATTA